CGGGAGGTCCCGCAGCCCCGTGGTACGCGGTGTTAGTCGCCTGCACGCGTGGCCGTACGTGTACAGTTGTGTATACGTATTTAGAGTACATACTTATACATACGCGCATGTGTACGTCTATGTTTCTCTATGCGGCTCTGACCCCGTGCCGAGCGGACGGGTGGCGGCAGGGTACCGCGGGCTATTTGCTGACAAGAAGGGGCTCGGCGCTTCCACGGAGGGAACACGAGGCTGGCTGGGAAGGGCTGAGAGGCTCCCCTCGGTGCTGCCCCTCGGGGCGAGCTCCTCCCGGCCCCCCGGCGAGGGCCCCGGCCGCCAAGCTGGGGAGGGAGCCCTGGGAGGGGAAGGGGCCTGGGAGATGGCGGACAATGACCCTGGCGCTGAAACGCCTCCTTGGGTTCTGCGGTTTTTTCCCAGTACCCAGCGTTTTCTTGCCTTCCACCTCTCCTGCTGCCGTGGGGCGAGTTTGCTCGTCCCTACGGCTGGAGAGCGGGCAGGTGTTGCTGGGCCCGACTGCCTGCGCCATGTTGCGTCGGGCCAGGCCTCACAGCCCGCCGCGTCTCGCCTCTCCTTCGCCTCGTGAGCTGCGCCGGGGGCACACGGTTTCGTTCTTCCCAAGTCGTATCTCAGTGGGAGATACACCCTGCACAGCTTCTTCCTTTTTTAAAAAATGGCCTGTGTACGTTGGGCTTTGTTTCTGTAAGCAAAAGGAGCAGGAAACTCTTCAGACTAAAAGCCCAAGTGTTTCAGAAACCACAAGCTTAAACTTCCATGTTTCCAAGAAAACACTTCTGTCTTCAGTTGCTGAGTGAAGTTTTCCAGTCATACTGTGATGAAGTGCATAGACGTACCACTCCTAGTCAGAAATGATCCTGAAGGGTAATTCTGCTAACATGCAAGTAGGAAAGGCAAAGAGAAACAGGTCAGAGAGTTTCGTGTGTGAGCAGATCAAGACAGCCAATGTAGAGCTGGTCCAGAGATGTCTACAGTTAACTTTTCACTTTGCTAGGGTCTCTGTATTTTCCATTTAGAGGGTACACTGTTCTCTAAATTACACCTGGCCAGTACCTCTGTTAGTGTTTTTTTAACTCAAGGAGGGTTTTCATTACTGTGCCACTGATTAGTTATAATTCCTCCAAAAGAATTTTTCCTTTAAAACGGATCTTTCTTCATACCACAATAAAACTGTTGATTTCTTGATAACATGACCACTGAGGTTAAATCCCAGGCACAGTCCAAGTAACAGCATTTGCATTTCTTCATGCTTTAGCAGAAGAAAGCTCTCTAAGCCATGTGCATGCTCTGTGTCATCTAGTCTGTAACAAACACATTCATTAGCGTGATTCTGTGGATTACCCAGCACACAGGGCTTTGAGCTTTAATCAAACACGTTTGTGTTCTTGCAGGTCGCTTACATACAGTGATAAGAAACACTTGCACAGCTCCTAATCTGTAGCATAGAAATCTCCACACAGTCTTGAATAAAAATCTGTTACTTTGAAAGTTTATTTGAATCTGGTTTGTATTTTTTCAGGGCTGAGAGACAGAATTTGGCCCTATTTTAACCGGTTCCTCTTTTATGAGTGTTTGTAACTTCTGTCCCGTGGCATTCTGCATTTCCTGCTTCTGCTCTGCCTTTTTCCGGCATGTCTCACTCACTGCTCTTGTTTTGAGTCCAGCATCAGGCACCTGGAATAAACATATTCACCTTTTCCACAGTCATTTCAAACCACATTACCAATGACGATACGTATGACCCTACCCATTTCATAAACAAACCAAAGCACAAAGGGCTCACAAGGTAGTCTGAACAAGGGTTGAAGATTTTTAAATGGGATTTGCAGATGAAGGCATCAAAGGCCTGTACAGTGATCCTACAAGCTACCATTCAGCCCTTGTCTAAGCTGGAGGCATGTCAGGCTTTCCTTGCGTGAAACTTCCTCAGTCGTCCACAATGATATTTCTGCCCAAACCCCAAACTGTCCCAGCACTGAAAACACTGGCGACTTAGTGCCCTCTCTTACATAAGCCAGGTATGGTATTCTTCCACCTTCACCCTTCCAAGCTCAGTCCAATAGTTGTTCTCAGAGTTTAAGTACACCCATGGAAACTGGATCAGCACCTCTGAATGTGCGGTTCCAGCTGCCAATTTTAAGACACAAGTAGTGCTGCTCCCAATCACGTGCCCCTGTGTCTCTCAGGGTTATGTCCTGAATACTTGCTTAGGCGTGCAAAGGCATTTCTTCTGCTGCAGATCACCTATTTCAAGGAAATCATCCAAAACACTGGACTGTAGTCTACCTTGCACAGCGTGTTTCTCCAACCCCTTTAGCACACTTCTGGCTTAACCTGAGTACCAGCAGCCAAGTACTCTGGCTTGGCTTGAACCCGAGTACAAGAATGCACAGAATCGTGGTTCTCTCACTTCCAGTCCCTGCTTCCAGTATTGTTTCAGTACTTTATAATAAGCAGAGAGAAGTAAATTCATGGTTTCAATTTGATGCCCAATGTGATCTCTTAATCTGGAGCACACATTAGGTCATCAGTGGTCCTTTTTTTTTTTCATAGCAGACTATTTTTTTGCCTAATTGCACCACCTGCAAGAGTCTAGCACCATCCATTCAGTCTGGCTAAAGGAAGACAGATTGCTATTTGCAGTTGAAATTTTGATACTATGGCAACGTGGTCATTTTTCTGTAGAAAAGAACTTTGAAAAGGTGTGATTTAGCATGTTGACTTCATCCATAAATGGCAGACTCTGGCTTTACTATTCATTTCACGGGCAGTTGAGAGGCTACAGTAAAAAAAATATTTTCCTGTAACTTTTCTGTAACCTTGGAGTGAGGCATAATGGCTGAAAGTATGCATTTGCTGAATTAGCAGAAAAGAGAAAGGCAAAGAGAGGAGAAATAATTGTAATAGAAATTACATTATTTTTTTAACAGGAGTTCTGGGGGGCATTTAAGGAACTGCCAAACAGTAACCATGACATCTATGCCAGGCAAGTTAATAGGGTCTCTAGCAGAGGAATCAAATGAGTGAACACAATGTACCGTATTAGAGAATGCAAACAATATATTGATCTTGAATATGCCTGTATAATAATACACTTAATTTACATATTATTCTATGCCATGTAGGGGAATAAATGCAAAACATTAACAAAAATCTGTAAGGGACAGTCATGTCTCACACGTCTGCAGGAGTTCTTCGTGTGTGTGGACAAGGTTGATACAGGTGGACTCCATCCACTTGGATTTATTTCCAAGAGGCATTCAGTGTGATGCATCTGCAGGTGCT